TCTATAAAAAAAATATCAAAAAATCTAAAATGAAAAAATCTAAATTAATAAAAAAGAATTTGATTTTAATAAAAAAATCTAAAATTAATGAAAATCTAAATTGATAAAACGAAACCTTGTTGTAAAAAAAATCAAAATTCAAAATAAATCAAATTTTGATAAAACTAGTTTTTGTATTCAACATGGTTTTGTTGTATTAAATTAGATTTTTCTTCATATTAATTTTAAATATAGATATTTTTATTAAAATTAGAATTTAGATTTTAAATTTTTTTACTCAATATGGGTTGTGTTATAAATTTAGATTTTTCTTCATATTATTTTTTTTTAAATTTTAGATGATTTTTATTAAAATTAGAATTTTTTATAAATTTAGATTTTTTATTCACGTGAGATTTATTTTTTTCTTCAAGGCTTAATTTTATTAATTTAGTTTTTTTATTCTCGGCTTTTTTTTTATCAATTCGTTAATATATATTTAAAAAATAATGATTTTATTAAAGATTTTTTTTTAATTTTGATTTTTTATCGAACATTTTCTACTACTATCAATATATATTTTTTAATTTTTAATTTTTAATTTAGCATTATCTTTTCTAAGATTTTTTCAAATATTTTTAATTTTTGGATATATATTTTAAAAATAATGTAAGTATTTATTTTAGATTTTTTTATCTAACATGTTCTAATTATAAACATTTACTAATTTTAAAAATTAAATACACACCGAAAAATTAATTGTAATTATTAACATTTTGTAATTTTGAATGAATATATGACTTGGTTTTTGATTACAATTTTCCACTGCTAAATATTGTGAATTTACGCTCAACTTTTTTTTAATTTCTGCCTGCTACTTWACAACAATTTATATGAAACCTCGTATTACAATTCCAAGTTTTAGGAAAATTTTAAATRCCTTTAAATAATTCAACACGAGCTTAAGTATTTTTTAAATGTTATGATGTGTAGAAAATACTAATMTATTAYATAATATAAATTTTTAGTGAWAATTGTATGTACCTATCTAAAATAGGGTTTTTAGAGTCACACCAAAATCCAAAATTGATTTTGTTGAAAACCAAATTTAAAAAAATAAATTTTTTCTTTTCCACTCGCTTTTGAAAACTTATAATTTTGACTTTCCGAATAATTCAACATCTAGYGTTATTGAAGTTGTAAATCGAAGCATTATTTCRACTACTTAGTCACAATGTCGTCGAATCGCTCCGCTCAGAATCTACGCCAAAAAACCTTTTTTTGAGTCCTAATAAATACCTATTTACAATATTTCATACTACTTTTATCCAATAAGTAGGTACCATATTAGATAAACTTTTTTTTGAATCCATGTACCATGAAATATGAATGAGTTTTTACCAACAGATAATCTCAGAAATTATCYTGGACTTCGTGTTGACATTCTTAGACGACATCTATAATTTTGAATTTTAAATTTTAACAGAATACCTATGATGGTTTGAACTTTGAGTTCRATAAATACTTACAATTCAGAGTAATCAAGGAATAATAATAATTTCATTAGTTGCTGTGGACATACGTCACCATTTATATATGGCATATATATTATATGTTGTCATGAAGCATTATGATATATTAGTATATTACCATTAAATACGATAAATAATGCATTTGATATGTACATGTACACACAGGCCAAGCAATTATTTATAAGATATTTTTTTTTTTTATATACATATACTATATAATAGGTAAGTAACTTAATAATTGTGTAGGTAGGTCGTAGGTATGAGTCAACCGTACAATTGCRAACATCAATCAATGCGGTATTCATACCGTTCATTCCGCATCGGCATCATTACAGTAGCATTTACGACATTTAATTTCTAAACTAATTATTGAATTAA